TAGCCGAATTTTAGTTCTATTGGTTGTGAAATAAGAATGAGTTTTGTTTTTGTGCAGGGGGTTAAGACCGTATCCAATATCTCCCTACCGTGTTGTTCCTCCTCACATTGATCGACCTGATTGGGCAGTTGACGTGAGGGTTTTTTTTTTGTTGAATGTTCAGTAGTGGCTTTTACTTATTGTTTATTTTAGCGAAATTTAACCATAAATTTTCCGGGGTGTTGACCACTTTTGATGCGTGTATTGTCCATTGACTCTTTATTTCTCATTTGTTTTTATCATGTTACATAGCCAATGAAAACTTCTTGTTTACATTGAACCTCCCTTTATTTTTGTTTCAAGGGCATAATGTAGTATTGATGCACCTTTCTTTTTTGACAATAATTCGCAGGGAATCCCTAAGATTGAACCCAGCAGTGATTTGCAGCATGTTGTGGAGGTAAACTGTATACTTAACCTTCTACATGGTTATGATTTCATTTTTTGACTTGTAGTCATGGTTGACTTTATTTTCTTTGTTCTATATTCCTCTTTCTAAATCTACTTATCTACGTCGTAGATCAAAACTCCTGAGCAAATTGAGAGAATGAGAGAAACTTGTCGAGTAAGTTGTTGCCCTGCCTCCCAACTCTTCCAAGTATATTCAAAAGTGAACCTGTCCTGCTTCATTCTTGTCTTTTAACCTTCATGCCAATTTCATGACTGTATTCTTAAGCTATGATTGCATTTGTGGATGATAGTAATGTCAAAATTCTGTATAATGGGATTAATATCTGATGAATCATTAGTGTAAGAAATTATATTTAAGATCTTCCTTGCTGCTATTGTTTCTATAAAGATAATTAAGTAGGATCTGCTTCATACCCAATCAACAAGCACCGTACCAGCATCATCGACCATTGCTCTATCTGTTGCTTTCTTTATTAGGTGAAAAACAAGAGTACAAAGAATTATATGCCCTGAACAAGGAAATCTAACTTGCAGATTATAAAAATAATGGATCATCTGGGATGAGAAGCCAACTCCTATGTGAAAATTAATGGATGATATATTTTTGCATGGACACCACACATGTAGGAACAGTTATGTTTTCCAAGTAACTTCAAAACTCTGTAGCTTTCCACTGTAGTTCACATATTTATTTATTTTTATTCATGTTTCTTTTTTGAAGGTTTTTCATTTGAGTTGAGGAGCCAGGGGTGGATATATTTGTCCTTAGGTTAGGTGTGAATTTTATTTTCATATTTAATTCAATCAATCTGGGATGTGGTAGTCTTATCTTGATTTAGCTTTGCAACAGCTTACAAAGTGTTTAGGCTAGAAAGAATTGAGTGAAGAAAGCAGATCCATGGGGTTGATTCCAAGTCGGTGGAATTGAGACTTCATTAATGTCTTCATTTTAAAGCTAAATAATGGACTGATAATGAGTAGAGGATGTGGGATATTTTTTCTTGAGAAATTGCAATTGAAGACAGCTTCCACCTAGTCATAATATTGAACATTTTCTGAAGAAATCAGCTTTTTTGCATGTTCTGACTCGGTTTTTGTTTGTAAAGAATGGTGCAATGTGTAACCATAACTGGAATTGTAACAACACTAGTTCACCTTGTTCTCTTGTTTGTGTGTGAATTTAAACATCTGTTAATATCAGATAGCAAGGGAGGTTCTGGATGCTGCTGCACGGATCATTCGCCCTGGTGTGACAACAGATGAAATTGACAGGGTTGTTCACGAGGCAACTGTTGCAGCTGGTATTTAGATGTTAATGATTTCTTTATTTATCCTTCTAGCTATGCCTGAGAGTTGTTCACAATTCATTAACTCCTAGTGAATAGGTGTCATTATTTGGTCTTAACTTTTGTTTGCTAAACCTTTTTTCCTTGAACCGTGCTGTAGGTGGATATCCTTCTCCTTTAAATTATCACTTCTTCCCAAAGTCATGCTGCACGTAGGTAGTCCTATTGTGTACCATTTCAATATGTTTCCTTCACTTGTGATCCATAATTTAAGAGGGTATAACTGTCTGTTGTAGGTCAATTAACGAAGTAATATGCCATGGAATTCCTGATGCCAGGTATGAGTCAAGTTCAATCCTGTAAAATTCTGTAATCTTGCTTTCTTGTGCACTGAATTTGCGCAAATACATTCTGGAACCATGGTGTTTTATCCTATTTGTTTGTCATATAATATATACCTTATAATTTTACCCATGCATGCTATCATATTTGGTCATAAAACTCCATTAACATGAGTGGACTTTACAACCACTATGACTGCTTAAGTTCTTATAACTTCCTGATATTTCTTCTATTTTTCTTTTCATTGCTTCAGGAAATTAGAGGATGGTGATATAGTAAATGTTGATGTGACTGTGTATTATAAAGGTGTCCATGGTAAGAAATTTTTTTTTGACTCGTTTGTGAATAAATCGAGTGTGATGAAGATAGTACTTGATCTAGTGGTTGATTCATTGTCCAGGTGATCTTAATGAAACATACTTTGTGGGAAATGTTGATGAAGCATCTCGACAATTAGTTCAATGTACTTATGAGTGCTTGGAGAAAGCAATATCGATTGGTATGTGCCATTTTTATTCTGGTTGTACGATCTGTTGAACTTATGTTCGAATTCTCCATGTGCTATCACACTCTGGCTGATGTCATGCTTTGCTTGTGTAAGTTTTCACCCAGGAAACTCATTGATTTTTAATTTTAAGAATAATAGCTAATTTAGAATGTAGTAACTGAAAAGATCTGATGTTTCACCAAGTTCTACCTGTTTGACTTTGATATGGATTTGCAGTATTTCTTTTTTTGGTGCAATTATCTTGTTAGATCATCCCATCTAAATTCTGAGTTCTTATTTCTGATTTTTGCACTCCTCTTTTACTTTTAGTGAAACCTGGTGTACGATTTCGTGAAATTGGAGAAGTAATTAATCGTCATGCTACAATGTCGGGGTTGTCTGTGGTAAAGTACTTCAGCACTGTCATTGGATGAAATCTTTATAGTTAGCTGTTGATCGTGTTAATAATTTCCCCGTTTTTTTTTCCTCTCAAAACAGGTGAAATCTTACTGTGGTCATGGTATTGGAGAGCTTTTTCATTGTGCTCCAAATATTCCACATTATGGAAGTATCCTCAGTAAATCAGCCTTTTTTATCCAGTATCTAGAAAAGAAAGCAAACCAATGTTTGAGACTTTGAAAATGCAAAATGATGCTGAACTGCCCCTTCAGTACTATATAACCTAATAGATTAAGCCTTTTTTTAGTTTGTGTGCATTGTTTGCCTTAAACCAGAGCAGGAAATAAAGCAGTGGGTGTAATGAAGGCTGGACAGATCTTCACTATTGAACCCATGATTAATGCTGGTAAATTTACAAGGTTCTATAATTGATGGAATTTCTCTCAAAGCTTTCATAGCCCATAGATTCTAACTCAAATGATTTCCTGAGTAGGGGTTTGGCGTGATCGGATGTGGCCTGATGGATGGACTGCTGTCACTGCAGATGGCAAACGCAGTGCTCAGTTTGAGCACACCCTTCTGGTAACTGACCTTTTGGTTTTATCTTCACCCTCTGCCTCTAATTGTTATCGCTGTTGACTTGGACAAGTGGCCCTGCATCTTAATTGCGTCAGGCTACCATGTCTCGGAATTTCTTCACCCTGCAGTGATTTTTCATTCTTAAATTTCTCATTATTTGATAATGGCAACTTCATGTATAATCGTCCTAGCATCTCATATTTATTTTTTTGCTGATTGTATTGTTACGCAGGTGACAGATACTGGAGTAGAAGTTCTCACCAAAAGGTTGCCTTCATCGCCGAAGGTTATCAAATGAATAGTTTGGATTTTTGGAGTAGAAGTTCTCACCAAAAGTTCTCACCCTGGCTAAATGAATAGTTATTGATAACTTGTTCAAGTGAGGGTGTCGTACCATCAAGATCCGTTCCTACGTTGTGCCATTCATGACAGGTCTTGAAATATTGCACGAGGACTTCTGGAATTTGGGTTTGTAACAATCAGGACACTAAACATTCAATTTTGCATCAAGGCCCCTACCTTTATTAGAGATGTACAATAATTTCATTTATATTTTTGTTATGAATTATGGTTGCAACTTTTTTAAAATAATGACGATGAGTGTTAACTTTTTGCAAATTTTTTATTTAAAAAGGCATGTTTGCAGGTTTTTGGCACAACCTAATTAGTGTTTTTTGGATTTTCCCAGTAGTGATTTAGAAGAATTTTGCACATTCCAGTTGCTTGGGCCCTTGCATTATGGCTTGGTTCCTGAAGTTTGGATTTTTTATTGTTTCTGGTTTTTTTTTTGGCCCTTTCCCTGACGACGAAATTGACTTGATCTTCACACACATTGAAAAACATGTAAAATGTATTTGGTAGATTTTTTAAATAATTTTTAATAAAAAAATTATATTAAATTTATATAAATTATATTAAATTTTAGCCAAAAATTAAAAAAAAATTAAATTTTTAAAAAATACAAGTTAAACGATATTCCCAAACTATTCACTAGTACCTCAAAAGGCTTTTGTTCATAATTGATCCACAGTCAATTACATGTCTTTTCTTCTACGTCGTTTTGATTCCGTTTTGATTCCATTCATATTGTGGACCTTTTATTTTTTTTTAATTTTTTTTAAATTATTTTGATATATAACTATTAAAAATAATTTGTAAAAAATAAAAAATATTATTTTAATATATCTTCAAAAACAATAAAAAAATCTGTTCAAATGAAAATTTTCTCGAGCATATTTGAACCTGTTTTTTTCCCATTTAAAAGAAAATAAAAAATGTTTTTAAATTTTTTGATATAAAATCTTATTATGTTTTTTATCTGAAAAATACGAACCAGGGAAAAACTAAGTTTTTATAAAATAAAAAATTAGAAAAAACAGATTGGTAATTTTAGGGAGGCTTTATTAACAAAGCCCAGTCCAGTATATGTAAATTTTCCCAATAAAAAATTAGAAAAATGGATTGGTAATTTTAGGAAGCCTTTATTAACAAAGCCCAGCCCAGTATCTGTAAATTTGTGCAAAACAGCAAACGGATTCAGGTTTGGTTTGGAACCAGATCAAGAAACACGTTCCGAGAAAAATTCACTCGGTTACACTGTGGACCGGCCATGACCTTCGAAAGGGTCAGACGGCCCGGACATTTTACTGTTTTAGACATGGTATAATTTACAAAAACGATACACGGACTCATCGAATTGTACAACTCCAAAAGTTAAAGAATCCTCACTCCATGAGAGAAAAACCTTAGGAAACGTACCTCGGTAAAGCGGGAAGAGGGGCGTGGAGATATGAATCAAAACCCAGTTGACCCGACTAACGAGGAATATGATGCATTTTCATCATTCGAGGCAGGCTCTTTCTCGCTGTCCTTGTTTGGTAGTTTATCTCTAGGCTTGACAAGAAGTCCCAGTTCCACACCAGCCATCTCGTACAATTCTAATTTTTGAAGCTTGGTTGCCTCAACGTCTCCATCCCAGCAGGTTTCAGAAATAATTTCCAGTGCTCTCTCCATCTTGTCCTCAGGTACAAGATTCCCATTTTGTAGTAGGACAATGTAAACTTGTTCGGCAGAAGCTTTCCTGATCTGAAAACAGAAGAGACAATGTAGATTTCAATTCACTGGGTTGCTAATCAACCAAAGAGAGTTCACATGCGATATGGATCAAATGCCAAATCCCAAACCTTGGGATATCGGTGGCTAAGCAAAGTGAGAAGATGAGTGAATGCCCGAGCATTGATGGTTTCCAAGAGTGAAGCAATATATCCAAGTATAGCAATACCAGAGTATAATTTTGCAAAGTCCTTTGATCCCTTCAATTCAACGGCAAGGGAATCCAAAACACTAGCACAGAAGACTGGAGTTTGGTCCTGGAAATTGAAATGGAAAGGTATTTCAGCATGTCGTCAAACCATGGAACAGAAAAATAAAAATAACAAATCAGCGGGAAATTTCATTCATGATTTCAATAGCAGCAGTTTGTATTTGTCCGAAGTAATGTTGAGATCTTCACTGTTAGTGACAGCAGATGTTTGCATCAATGAAATCAGAATCTGAAAGCAATATTCTTCCTGTGTACTAACAGTGAGATCCTCACATCAAAAAATAAGTAAATTGCGCAAGCCAACAGAAAAATAAGATAGGACAACCAACCTCCATATCCAAGAATATTTTTTTGCTGAAAAGAATCTCTATTGTCTGAAATACACAAGAGTAATGGTCAATATTCTGAAACTCCGTGAATAAACTTAAAATTCACGGAAAAAACAAACTTAAAATGTCAATGTCCCAAATTAAACAATGTGTACAGGCGCACAAACATTTGATAGATATAAATACTAATAGAAAGATGAAAAAAGAAAAGGGAAAAGAGAGAGAGAGAGCTCATCAGCTTATGGAGGGAAAATATGAATTGCAACTACCTAAGCATCATCGGCAAAATTCTTTAACCAATGCCTTTAAATAAAATTATTTTGCTATTAACTAGTCGCTACAGGTTTCCCTCAATAACTTGTTAAAGCAGAGAAAATGCATATCTTTAAGAAAAAACGACAATTCCATTACCTTCAAAGTGGGTACAATAACTCTATCACATTTCTTGTACTGTTCGAGAACCCAAAGCATGTCAGCAGATAGCATATGCTCTCTTAACCTTCTATCATTGGACTCTTTAGTTTCAACCGGTTGAAGATATTTCAATAATGCAGAGATTGAAGCCTTCCGTAAAGAATCTTGCAACCCACCAATCGAAATAACTAAACCAGACAATACAGATCTGCTATAACAACTAAACCGGAGTAATTGTACAAAGCGTTGATATGAAAAGGTGGGTACCTACAAGCAAGCCACAATCACCTGCTTGTCAAAGAACTCAAATCACAAATAACAACTAAAATTAAGTAACTATGCAAACAGTGGACTGTAAACTTACTCCCCACTTTAAATCCGTTTCATTAGGAACAATTTCTTCCAGATTTTCTCTGCAAGGGATAAATGGAATAAATATTGCCTTGTTGTACAAAATCCTCTGCAGAACCTTTGCAGCAGCTTCTCTTATTTTGTCCATCTTCTCCACAGCTTGCTTAGCAATTCCACCAATCACATTGGTAGCAAGATTTGCATCAAAAAATGAGACCACCTGGTTATTATCCGCCACATCATTATTAGGCCTCTCTGACACAGACTCAACATGATGTGATTTTCCATTGGAATCCTTAATACAAAGGATGTATGTACATGTTTCAAGGCCTTCCATAGCAGCCTCACGGACCCAAGAACCCACATCACCTCTGTTATCAACAGAATAGTCATCAAGAGCTTTAAATAAGCTCAGCATAACTTCATTTTTTATCAGATGATACAGAGATATGCCATCCTCTCCACAACAAATACTGGAACAGTCTCTTTCCTGAGTTAATGTCTTCAACACTAGTATGAGTCCTTTGACAGCATTAACTCGTGCTTCAGCATCTCTGTCCTCAGGTTTATTCTATAGAGATTATCCACAAACATGAGTCAGAAGTCCAGTAAGATCCAAAGCAAGAGTTTTTAGTAAGAATCACAACTTTCACGACAAGCACCTCTATCATGCAAGAACTAGAAAGCTTCAGAAGCACATCTCTCCACCTGTTAGCCAAAAGTTCATATGGCAAAACACCTAGCGCCATTGCAGATCCTCTTCTTACGGCAACATTTTGATCAGTTAGCTGTTCCAGGTATTTTGATGTTATACTGCTGGCACCTTCATTATTTGTGGTGACGAGGCATGCTCGAACGAAGTGTTCTAGGGCTTTAACAGCATCATTCTGTATATGTTTGGAGCAATAGATTCATAAATTCAGACTATCAGCATGAAAAAAAAAGGTACTGGCAAAGAAAATCTAACATTACAACACAAACACCTGTATTTGAGAATTAGGGTGCCGTAAATTTTCGCTAAGAGTATCAAGCAGACTCCTTTTTATCTTTTCTGGTAATAACAAATGTGATGATGAGATACATTCAATGAACCGAGAAACAGCAGAACGCATTATTTCTCCACCCTTCCCGCGATAAAGTCTTGCTTTCTCAATAGCAGGAACTACACCAGCAACTTGTTTCTGTTTTTCTACAAAATAAAAATAGCAGATACTAAAAACTGGTTTATGCAAGATGTAAGCTCAAGCTTCTTCCTTGAACTGGGATTCTAGAACCAGCATAGAGAAGATAGCATAAACTGAGTTATAAAATTTTGCTCATGTAACAATTCTTATCCATCAAATAAACAGGAATCTCATTTCCTCAAAATGAGAAAGAGTGAAAACCCCCAAACCTTGTTTTGCAGCCATCTCACAACAAAACACCTGAGTTAGTGCAGTTCAAATCCAGCATGAACTTTAAATTATTGTCTAAGATTTCATAAGGTTACTTCATTTGAAATCTCAACAATCATTCATAAAAGAAAAGCATCTGGACAAAAAGTGATTTTTCCTATGTAATATATTAATAATGTAGAGGATCTAATCAAATTGGTTGTATCCAATCTGGATTTCTTTCTCAATATCATTTCTTTCTCTCTCACATTGTTAGAAAAACAAACTCTGAAATCATTCTAGCATAGTATTAATCACATAAATAGCCTTAAAGCTACAAGCTCTTAAGGAAATAAGCATAAAATGTGAATGCAATAGAAAATCCTATAAGTAGGTATTTCTAGAAACAGAGGAACCATGCACATTAAATCTCTGAAAGTTCAAATAAAAAGATTTCATAGCATTTGTGAGAAAAATAAAAGCTGAAAGAAGAAAAAAGAGTACTAACCAGCAGGAAGAGCATAGTCAAATCGGTGCAAAGCCAAAACAATTTCTGCAGTTGCTAAGGTTGCACCATGGCGCATGCAAAGATCAGATGAGAGAGTACAAGGAATTAATTTCTCCAAAACAAAGCTTGCAAAATACTTGGGGTCATATTTGACAAGAGCAGAAAGGGCTTCTCCAGCAAGTTCTCTCAAGCCTTTATCCTAAAGTAACCAGCTACAACAGTTATCCACTTAAAACTACAACACAAGTAAAAACCATATGACATGCAAGAGTTAAGCCAAATAACTTATTTTATGCCAAGTGCTATGAGCATTTTACATCTGATAATCCTAGGCAAACCAACAGATACCCACCCCAAAACCTCAAAATGAAAAAGGTTGATGAACTTACCTAAACTTGATGATGTAACAAAGGTAGCAATGACCATGGTCATATATAATCTCTAGTCTCAACAAATAATTTGAAACAAAGAAAGACAAAAGCAAAGGGAAATAGATATAGCTAGCATCATTGTAGAGATAAAACATAGAAGAAGCACAAAATTTAAGTGCTTGAGTGCATACCCAGTGACCAATCTTGTTGTGCAGCAGTTCTTCTGCAAACGGATAAAGGTATCCTTCATACTGAGCAATGTAGACAGCAACATGGAGGTAAGAGTTTACTCGTGAAGAAAGTGAAAAATAATCTGCAGTATTCACTATGTCAATGCCATGTGGGTAGTTCCCTTGTCTTCCAACATTCTCCTGAAAAGCAGCTGCAGCTGATCTTCTGCAATTGACCTAAGCATCATGCATCATAAGCTTTGACATTGACATTGGTACAATAGGAAAAGGCTAGTATATCCTATCAGAGAGTACTCGCACCTCACGGTCATAGCAGGCTACTGTCAACAGGTGTGGAGCAAGCTGTTCCAGTACATTTCTCATATCAACGTGATAATATGCACGGCCAAATGCCCAACAAACATAGGCAGCAGCATCTCGAACATGAGACCCTACACTATGTGGACCTCTTCGAATATCATAATGCAGCGCCTGTTGAGAAAAATATAATATTGTTCAATTCCAATAAATTGATGCTTTGAGTCTTAGCACTGGTAAAAAAAACCATTTTCTACTGCTTATAAGCCAATAGACAATATAGATGTTAAGAGCGGAGAAGCCAATAAAACTGCAAAAAATTAGTTCACAATCACACCAGTGCTCATCATCCATGTGCAAAGTAGTTTATTCTTTCACTGGGTTTGACTTTTTTGCATTTTGATGCTAAGAATAATTTACTTTTCAACAGTTTCTTCTGTCTCCAAATAGAAATAGATCAGGACTAATAACTAGAAACAGTTAAGAAAAGGAAAAAAGAAAAAGAAAAACTGATAAACCAAAAATAGTGCAAAATTATAAATGGTCCACAAATCTTTCAATAACGAATGATTTAGCAAGAAAGAAGAGATTATCCAATCAAAATGCAATCATCCTACCTTCACAACATAAGGAACAACTTTGGGAAGACTCGTAGGCAATAACAATCCTCTACGTGCTAGTTCAGCAAGTGCCAGGCAAGCTCCATGCCATGAACCATCACTCTGGAAAGTTATGAAAGTTAATTATGGCTCTATACCTCAAAATTGGTAGAGAAGATCAAAATAAGAAGAAAATATGAAAAGAGTAAAAGAGAACATAGAAGCATACCTCTCCAGGGGAAAACAGCTCCAATATCGATGACAAGACCTCTTCTGACAGAGCAGATGTCAATCGTGAAGTTATACGGCCTATACCTTTGGCAGCAGACCAACGTACAACAGTGTCCTGCATTGTCAATGGTATCAACACAAAATTGCCCAGGAAAATGGTGAAATTAAAAACAAAGCATGTTCAACACCTCTTCATGGCTCTTATACATTCAAGAGTAGCAAAGAAGCAAAATGTACAAGAGTACAATCCAGACAATCATGTCAAATTTTGAATCCAAGACTCCACACTTTATAAGGTGATTGAAACTTCAGCCTAGGCTACACTGCTTGTTGCCAGGCATCATGTCTAAAACATGGGACTCCTCGAGAGACAAACAAACATGTGAACAATGCCTGCAGACCCACCTGTATTGACTGCAACAAGCACCTCAACAAGAGGCCAGTGCATTTCACTAATTCTTATACCAATACACTTTATTTGTTAATCAGAAAGCATATCCAACACTCAGCACTCTTCCAAGGGTTGTAGAAATAATTGCTGGGCTTCATAGAAGCCTGGAAAGAGTGATGGTCTGATTTATTTAACTTCATTATATTTTTCACTTCATACAATTACTGAATCCTAAATGGGTTTTCATAAATATTCTTTAGTACTAATTTAAAGCTTTGAAAGATTTTTCTGGTGTCTTACATAGTTTCCACCATGTTCCTCAGGCTGTGATTATATGTAGATCAAGAGCTCAACAGAGTAGTTACTTTATTAAGATGCATTCTTTAGTACTAATTTAAAGCTTTCAAAGATTTTTCTGGCGTTTTACATAGTTTCCACCATGTGTCCTCAGGCTGTGATTATATGTAGATCAAGAGCTCAACAGAGTAGTTACTTTATTAAGATGCCTGTATGTTATTTTAAATATAGCAGCTATTGAGGAGATAACAAAGTACTGTCCCATTAATGAGAAAACTCATCTGCTTCTAATACTAACTTTTGGACAGAAGAATAGGAATGGGTAACATTTTATCTAAAATTTAACCTTTGAAGCTGCTTAGTATTTGATTAAAGAAAGCAAAAAGCTCTAAATGGAATCTCACCCTTTTGACTTACCGTGTCTCTTAATCCAGCCAGTAACATCTCTATGATCTCTTCTACAATTTCTGGAACATCCATGGCTTCATCTTCAAGGCAGACAGCACTTTCTTCTGGTTTGACAGAATCAATATTTTCATCATGACTGCATTGATCAGCTCTTTTAGATACATTTAAGGAGACATTTTCCCCAAGAGAACTGGTCCTGCCCTATGGATAAGGCAAAAGAATGTCATGAGAGTAGCATTCTTTGTTTTGTGCTTTCGATTATTTAAATAATGGCAACAACTTTTACAAAATAACCATGTTAGATATAAGCAACAAGAAGTGATAGAGACTAAATAACTAGAACACACAAAAGAGAATGAGATAAATAATCAAGGAGCTTATAGTTGTATATACGGTATGAGTTACACACATAGCCATGCACTCAAGAAGTGGATACAAGTGAGGATCTGTAAGAACCAGCAGTTTAAAGAACTATTGATAACGTTTAGGGATAATGGCCTCTGCATTTTGCAAGGAAAAAACCCCTCAAATCTGTCCTTAGCTTATCATTAATTCCCACTTTGGAGATGCAAAGCGGTCTTGTCCACACAGGATGGCTTGGCACCCTGCATGCCCTGCAAACTTCAATTTCCACAAGATACACGAGTCATGCTACAAGCTGAACAGCCAGTGTACTGATATCATATGAAAGGCACAGAGATAATCGCTGGCCATGGGACATGTCAATTTTGATGTTGAAAGAGTAGTTTCTTACATTTATTGCACAGAAACCAGAAGGAAGATTCTAATTAATTATGCACATATTAAAATTGTACTTTTATTCTGAACTTGGTGCTAAAATGCAAAGCCCTTTGTAAGCAAAAGATTCGTAAAAGAAACTTTCAAACTAGAACATGTTTTAAAATTTTCCTGAAGATGGTTAGCAGCTCCCAAGGCCATACATTTGTCAAAACCTTGAAGTAAATCAGGATGTCCATAAATATTCAGAAATACTAACCACATAACACCAGGCTGGTGAACGAGGAGGGAGGCAAGTAAGACCTATCCGTTGTGTTAACTTCACCAAATACTTGCGAAGCAAAGGACTATGAGCAGCAGTACCGGACTTTTCCAGCAGTGACACATCAGTCCAAACAGTGGAAACCACACCCATTAACCCTTTGCGACCACCAGCCTGACCACAACAAAGAGTATATGAGAAAACTATAAATTAAACAAGGCAAAGAGAAATGCACACAAGAAAGAATACAAACAAAAGGCAGCATCCATTTCCCATGCAAAACTTATTTGCATCATAACAATATGACAAAATCAACAAAAGCAAACCTTGAAAATGGCAGCCAATGCCTCCACGGCACCCAATAACTGAAAGTGAGACGAGAAATCATCTGTGCCAGAAGATAAAACTTCATGTGTCCATTCAATAAAGCTGGCAAAAAAAAAAAAAAAAACAGATATTCAACCATGCTTATCCAACAATTCTTCAAAATAGACACCAACACGAGCAATGTTAAAACCTGGTAAAAGCCATTGGCATATCAGGACGCGAAAGAAGCTTAGAGAGCACTAATCCAGCCATAGTCCGCATAGGACCAGCATTCGAAAGATATTCTTTAGAAAACTTCAAAATCCTCAAAACAAGAGGAGCTAACTCAAGTTCACCGAGCTCATTACTACTGGCAATACTAGTATCAACAGAAGAAATATCAAACGGAACCAGAACAAGAATAGAAAGCCACAATAGCATCACACATTTCGCCTCCATCTCTCCCTTACTTTCCTGCCTCAACGAGGTAACAGAATTCGCGCCATGGCATTTCTCTAACAGAGAAACCGCAAGCTCTAAATCCGAAACTTGATGCGGAAAAAACTTAATAACCGCCTTGTAACCGCAAACGGTAACTAATGTGTAGATAATAATACAGACCGGCTTTATTATTTCAAGAATTTCATTCGATTCAAAACCAAATTCGATCGTTCGAGTACGAATAATTTGCATTAATGGAGAAACTATACTCTCCAGGTACGGCTCCAATAGCTCACCCTGCTGCTGATACTTATCCATCTGCATAAAAAATATAATAAAAATTACAAAAAGAGACAACAACAAAAGTTGGAGAGGAAGCGGAGAGTAGTACAATGGAGCGGATCTTGTGGACGGAGGAGAGATCGGAGACTTGTTGATTGGAAACGATGTCGTCAAGGAGGGATTTGACGAGTTTCCATTCCTGTAAGAAGTATTTTTGGAGAACTGTATCTTTGGAATCGTGCTCATCGTCTTCATCTACTGATTCCGATACCGGCATTTTAAAGAAGAGTCGGAACTTCTCTGGTTGCGGCAGTCTTTGTAGATATGGAAAAGAGCGAAGAGAAAGGAACGACTGAATTCCCGCCTGGATTTACTTAACGCTGTCGTTGATCTAAAATCTGGAGAGTGCGCTTTACAAATACCTGTAAAAAAAAAGGTCTTATGCGAGTGGTTGTACGTTGTGCTAATATTTGTTGTACACCGGTTAGTTTTGTTTACAAAACGTGATTAAATGTTTCTAGGGTTTATATCGTTTGGATTCTATTTTAAAGGCGCTGAAAGATCTGGTAGAGTTATATGCAAACCTTCATCCCGTGCACCCGCTCAGAGGAGGGTGAAAATGGAACTCAAAACTTCCGTTGCCGGGACTTGAACCCGGGTCTCTCGGGTGAGAGCCGAGTATCCTAACCAACTAGACTACAACGGATTGTTTGAGGCATTAATATAGTATGTTATATATATTGTAGTTTTACTAATTAGAATTAATTTTCCAACAATTTAAATAATTCACGTGTAGAATAAATGTGCTAGCTCAATTGAGAGATTAAAAAAAATCCTAAAAGGGGAGTTCTGGGTGGATTTATAGAGACGGACTAGTTAGGTCAAAAGGTTTAGATGAATCGGGGAGGGGAGGGTTAAAATTCATCAACTGCGGTGGATGTACGAAAAAATATTTCCACAGCTTATGCAAAAGGATGGGAGCTATTCAGTTATTACTGATTCTTGAATGTAATTTGTTTTACTTTCACTTTGTATATAACTTTACAGGAAATTCACTGAACTGACACTCACAAATGCCTCCTTTGAACACTTTCGTGCATGCATCCATATATATTACACAATAAGAAATGTTGACCTACAAAGTTTGATCCAGAAACATAAGCAAAGCTTAATTACATCTAGGCTTATGGCTTGTACTTTGCAGCATACCGGTGAAACAAGGCTAATGCATTGCTAGCAGTCTGAGCCACGTTCAAAACCTTGGCCTTAATCATGGCCCTTGACTTGTCCATATTCCTCCCAGGAAACCCATCCAAACAAGTGCTAGCATCAGTCATGGCAGAGCTTACAAAAGTTTCGACATTACTTATGTGCCAAAAGACGTTATCACCTCCTTCAGCATCTGTGCGTTCCAAGCGATGGAGCTCTCTAACTGATTGAGTAAGTTGGTCCACGCTATTACCAATTTGATCTAAGCAGTCTTTCACTGCTTGGTAATCCTTGGATTTCCTTGCTTTGAGCCCCTTAACCACTTTCAACATGAATGTTCTTGTTTGGAGGGCCTTGTATAGGCTCACGGATAAGGCAGCTTGGGCTAGTTGCTGTGGAGTTCGTATTGTCGTTGAGTTCGCAGAGACTGATAGGTATTGGATGCACAGGGATGGATAAAGGGTCTTAGTGCATGCGTTTTCGATGTAGGCCCGAGACCGGGAGCGTCTTGGAAACCTAGCTGGTTTCTCCGCGCCCGTAATGCAAACTAGAGAGAGTAGCAGCAGCAGTATGAAAAGACTGAGACGAGCCATTAATGTTGAAGGTTGTAGAATTGAGAGGAAAAGGAAATATGTCAAACACTGAGTTGAGGACATTAGGATGAGGTAATGTGTGTATATAAAGAGGCTGTCACATGCTAGCTAGAACTTCATCTACTTGATTTAATTACGTACACGTTACTTGTATTAAACCCAAATTATACTCAATTGGTCCTTGAAGAAAGCCTGATAGAAAAGAGGATTATGCTTATCTGGCTCGGTCAAATCATTAACACTAAACCTGCATCATCAAGAGTTTCTTAGATAGGCAGTAATGGAAAACAAACCTTTTTACAAAGATAATGGTAATATGAACCTCAATTTAACCATAAAACACTGGCACTGTTTCTCGGGAAGGAGCACGTTCATCTTGTTGGTCATTGTTTCAGGTTCTTTAAGTTTCTTATTGATTCAGAAAATGGGATCAATTTGGCAGAAGAGGCCATATGATGATCCCTTCCACGTAACGCATTGATAAATCACGTAAACTTTTTTACTTGGAATGGCCAGAATTCGTAGGATCAACTGACTATCTGATCCCTGCCGTTGGATCAGTTGTACTAGAGAGGATTCGGCGATGCCCGCGGCGGCCTGTCTATAAACATGGCAATAGCGATTATTTATTGCCAACAAGAATCATAGACTAGGTCTTCTAGGAAATTCAAAAGCATTTTTAATAATGTAGGGTCCTAAAGTCGCGTTCAATGGTGACGATACCTCGCAAACCATGTGCTACTGAGGATGAGTAATCTTTCGGCAAGAATCAACCACAAGACAATCAAATCCACTTCTTTTTCTCTCCCGCGGATCCTCGATCTTATACTTGTTTTCCATTAATAGCTTTATCTTACATTTTCGTCGATCCATCCCAGCGATGATACCACAATTTCAAGCAATATACACAAGTAATTAGCACTGGTTTTCTCATAACAATTTACTGATCATGAGACGGAGACAAAGTGAGAGGTAGTGAGGATATGAAAGCTCATCTAATCTCATTCAACGAGAAATACAATTACATAGATTACGACATAATACAACGAAACACACCACATAAACACTACAACAAATATCTGTTCAGGTTTGGTAATTGATGCGGTGTGTTCATATCCATAGTATGGTAAGTCCATCATAAGATATTGTTTTATATGATTTCTAGTGAGTTTTGATCTCAACAGATATTTGTAAGGATGAAAAGTGCTTTTGGTGTCATATAAGCAATCAATAACAGTCTTATTAGAGCTCCCCAGACGAAGGATTTGGCTGAAACACATAACTTGTTCTCACAGATGACGCATATGTTCAAATCCATAATATGATAGAACCACACGAGATATTATTTCACATAATTTCCCGTTAGTTATACAAAAAACATCTTGTAATGAGAGAGGTATTCTTAATATGATATAAACAATCAAGGCCCTCGTTTTCTAATCGATGGGGGATAATGCCTCAATAGTAATCATTCAGCAACCTTCACACCTGAGAGATTAACACGGCCCTGAATCAGACTGCCTCCTATCCAAAAACCAGGCATAACCATTAGGCCAACCCTAGGCTTTGGATCATTTTCATCCAATAACAGATTTTTTACAACACTTAATTTCCATAAAAACCTCTGAGAACTCACTGCCTCTCATAACTTGGAAGGCCTTGACATTTGGGTCAAAGGAATAAGCAAGCCTGTGAGAAAAGCCAGATCGAGTTGGCCAGTTTCAAGAAGGCCTTATAGGCGCTCCTGGATGCCCTCCCCTTTTTATATAGTTTTGCTTATCTAAATTTCCAAAGAATGAAGCCTCCAACTTAGGGTGAACCACCACCAGGTCGTTGCTCGTGCAAAATTTCCCAAAAACAGAATTTGGGTTCTGACATAGCATGTCTAAAGGATCCATTTCCCTCGTAGCAAGAAATTGATGAAAGAAACTCTCCTTTGAAACTGCCCCGCCGGCTGCTTTAATTGAGAAGTTCTCGTGATGAAACCCACTGAACATTCTTTGAGATATATGAGACTCAAATGCATACTATTTGTGAGCTCTCTTTGCCTAAACAACGTTGGATTCAATGGATGTAGCGGCGGCATCAAGATCCCGCCCAGCTGCTTTCATCATATTGATCAATGGTTTAGAAAAATTATGAATGGCTTTGAATGCAGTTTCTATGGCAGAAGTTAAGAGCTCTGGGGTCAGATCCACAGAATAAAAGTCATTTTCATCTCCAGAACCCTCTGATTCTTTGGTTGACAAACCCTTGAGCTTAAGATTCTTTTCCAGTTTTGCTCGTTTCTGGCTTGCTTCCTTAATCATCTGCTCAAACTGGAGAATCTCAGTTTCTGGATTTCAGATTGGAATGTTTCACCATAACCTCGTATGTTTTGAGCAGGCTCAGTTGTTCTTGGATCTCTGCAGCTAACCGAGAGTCCCGAGGAGAAACACATACTGGTTTTGTGTTATTTTCCCTGTAGATATGCTTGAGCTCGGATAGATTTTTCAGCTCAGAAATTACAACTTTGTCAGAAGCTTGTATTTTATCAGGATCATAGGGAGTATAAGCAGCTTGGAGCTGAATGTATGCTGACTTCAGAGAGGAGATGTTGGTAAATATTTTGGATATCAAGGCTTCCCCAGCTTCTGAATTTTGATTTGCAGAATCTTCCATGGGTTGAGGGTGGACCTTCTGACAGTTGTTCTCACAGGGTTGATTATCTTTCAACGCAGTGGGTTGCATATCTACTTTCAACGAATGGGTAGTCTAGTAGGATTCTTTCTGAAAATACACCAGTGTGGCACAACCTGCAAACTCCCACAAAAGCGTCAATAATATCCAAGACTATCAGCAAGGCAAGAAAGCAGAACTCAAGCAATTCCAAGCAATACATTCTAAATCCAAAATAAGCCTAAAATAAGTCCCAATTAACAAAACTCTGGCTCATGCCATTGAGCAAACTGAATGGAGAATGCTATGTTTGCACATGATGCAAGAGATCTTGTGAGCAGTGATCACATATCACATCACACCAGAGAGTTTATGTGAAACGACAAAATGTTTAATAAATACATTCAAGAAAACAAAATCTTGCTTCTCGTTGCTTACAACACTCCCAAATTCACAAGATTATACCCCAAACATTGTTAATGAAACTTTAAAGGGTGAAACCAGTAGAAGTATAAGCAGCTAGTATCCACGGAATGAAGAAACCAAAGATTTCATGAGGAGTTTATCAACATGACCCCAACAGGACAAGAGAGTCAGGAATGCCAGTATACCACACACAATCACATTTTCTTTAAATAAAAGATTGTATGTGGTGGGAGTTGTAACTAAAACTCTTACCAAAACCCAGATTGATCGGAGGCAAATCCCAATAACAAATTGATTAGAAGGAAAACCTTCAGTGCTCGACAGTTGAGCCCAAAGAATCAGGAGCCCAGACACAGGACACCAACTAAAACCTTAATATTGTTAGAAAACTACTTGAATTATGGATCCTAATGATGCATGAAAGATCTGATATCGTCTCAGTTCTTGAATACTCAGTCTGATTGCAGGACCTTATTCTGGCACAACCAACTAAAATATAAGGATTTTAATAGCTAGTTTGGAGTAAAAAAATATTAGCTCGAGTTTGGGAGCAAAACTAAAGCTGACAAAAAAGTAGGAGTGCGTGAAACAAGAAGAAAAGCCCACCAAGCATCCATCCAAAAATCCTTTTT